CCCCCCCCCCCCCCCATCTCCCCCAAATCCTCTCTGTATAACTGTAGGTGAGTGCTGCTTGTCAAATTATAGTTGAGTCTAGTTACTGGGTTGCAGATAAACTGTCAAATTTTACTATCCAGTATAATCTGTATTCCTATTAATTACAACCTAGTTCAAGAACCTGTCCTTATCAAAAGTTTATTTATCAAAAGAGGAAAAAAAAAAACACTTCAACCAGTTCTTTGCTGCCATGTGGAGAAAAACAAAAAAATGGCTTTGCAAAAACTAGAATCCTATGTTGAATCAGCAAAGGGGAAGTGCTGAGGACACCAAAAAAGATACATCAGTGAGAACCAGATACCTTCTTTCTGGATCATATATCAAATCAAATTGCAATTTCATCAGATAATTAGCAGACATCACATTGCTTTTTCATTTCATCATAGATGAATAGTAGTTTCTAAAAACAACAACAAAAAACCCCCTTAAACATAGCTTTTTAAGTAAGAGAACACTTTTTTTAAGAGCTGTATTTGACTGTCCACTCAGGGATATTATTCTGCAACCCAGACTCAGGTTGATTATTCACCTGTTCCCACCAAGTGGGATCTACCTCGTGTACCAGTAATAAAACTGTACTGAAGCACATTAGAATACAACTGAAGTTAGAAAAGTTGGCATGGCTGGAATATTTGCCTCTTTATTAAATCCCAACAGAGGTGGTGCTTTCAGTGTTCATTAGTCGTTTCTCTGTCTTTCACAAACACCAAGTGAAAACAATCTCTACGACAGGCACTGAATATTTTCTTACTTACACTAGAGTCGAGACTTTAGATGGGGACTTCTGAGATGGTAGGTGAGAAAAACTGTCTGAAGGGGAATGTGGAAATGTAGTTTATGGTCCTCATATTTGGAAATATCCTCGGTAATAAGTCAAAAAACATTTAGAAGTGACGAAGGGAGAAACAAATATGCATTCTAAACTGTGGCTCCGAATTACAAGTGAGGACTCATACTGGCAGGAGTTGTACCTTGTAGATAGAGCTCAGTTACACAATTGTTACGTAATGCAGAAAGGAACTATAGTTAACATGGAAATATGTTAACCAAAATGTTTTTAGTGTAACATCTAATAGGTCTTCTAGTAGGAAGAATGGCCAATTCTTTCCTCTTACTAGCAGTAGTAATAAATTATAAATGCCCACATAATGCAGACTTACCGATAATAAAATTATCACCCCAACAGTCCAGGATTATTAGATAACATTTAGAAACAGTAATTGCAGTTTTTTACAACAAGCATCTGGTGAATATTGTTAGTTTTTATTACGTTAAATTTTAAATGCACTGAACTCCATATACTCAAGAGTTAAAAACCTAAATGAATTTAGTCTTGGTGTGAGAACACTCTCCTGAGTTGTGCTTCAAGATAGGCATTTGGGAGAGAGAAGAGTTTCATTAAAACTGCACATATATTCTATGGATTTTGTATGAAATGACTAACTCAAGGCAAGGGAAAGAAAGCAGCATTGTTCCAGTGCTCTGTTTTTCACAGGCCTGTATTCATATCTCATCCTTGTTGTTTGCAGGAGAGGCAGATGTGAACCAGAACAATGGGACCTCCACTAAGAGTACAGCGGTGACAGACTCCAAAGGCACAGCAGATCCAAAGAATGCCTGGAAGGAGGCCAACCCAGCTGACACAGTTGGTCGCCCCCACTTGATCCGCCTCTTTTCCCGAGATGCCCCTGGAAGGGAGGACAACACCTTCAAAGATCGGCCCTCAGAGTCAGACGAGCTACAGACCATTCAAGAGGACAGTGTAGCAGCTTCAGAGAATTCGGATTTGATGGCTTCACAAAAGCGCTCCTCTTTCCGGCACGGATCAAAAATGGCAACTGCAAGCACTACAGACCATGCTAGACATGGATCCCCAAGGCACAGAGACTCAGGTCTACTTGACTCACTGGGCAGATTCTTTGGAGGTGAAAAACAAGTTCCCAGGAGGGGCTCGGGCAAGGTGAGCTCTGAGGAATAGAAAACAGAACAGCTACAGCAAAATAAAGTACAATTAAAAAAGAAAGGGTGGGAGGGGAAGGTGAACTGGGTCATTGTCATAAAGCAAGAGTTGACTTAGCAAGAAATAATGTGTTTTGAGAATCTGATATGATGTTTGGCTCTAAAGGTAAGGGAGAGAGGAAAGGATAGAGAGTTAGAAAATATTGTGTGCTTGCAACAGATTTTTAAGGCAGAACCATTCATCTGCTGGTTGTATATAAAGACAAGGTGTGGCTCTAGAGATACTCCTGAGAGGGTACTTGGTGTAGTATGTTTATCTGTATAATGTACAATTTAGACTGCAGCCTGTTTTTGTTTTGTTTTTCTTCCTTCCCCTTTCAGGGACTTTTTATTTCTTATGCTTCTCAAAATGAATTTAGATATAAGTACAAGAAAATCTATGAAAATGTTACAACAGTTCCCTAGTAGTAATGGGGATAGCCTTGAAAATAGTTGTTTTTTTTTTCTCCCCCATTCTGTAATTTCTATGATTGATTCTTTTACTGGAGACTTTACTACCTGGCTGTATTTTACAATCAGCACAGCTTTAAGGCCAGCAAATGGGGTTGCTGGTAGGGTGAAGGGTCAAATTCTACTGAAACCCAAGCTTCATACACAGTTAAAAGTATTTGAGACTGATAGTTGGGAAAATGAGGGAATGATCAGAATTGTACGTACAAGCATTTGCAAATTGAATTTAAAAAAAATTATGTGACTTAAATTTTGAAATTCAGTATATGAAAACTTGTCTTCATTATGATCATATGTCCTTGCTGTATGGAAAACAGAGGTATACAGCCTGGTAGTGCTGTATATTTCTGCCAATTCCAGGATTTGTATACAGTTTGATAAGGATGTTGATATGTCTTTACAGTTGGTTCCTTGATCTGTTATTTCTCAGCTGGATCCAAGAACTAAAAAATGTTTTTTAAAAAAAGTGATCAGCATTTGAGGTTGACCTATTTTTTGCTACATTAGCACTTGAATGGAAACTATATAGGGTTTTAGAACTTCACTTTATCAGAATATCACATTTTTGGTAGCTGAAAAAGAGAGCTTATCTGCCATAGTTCAAACCTTTCTGCTCTAGTTCAAACCTTTATTAATTAGCATGTGAAATAAAAATGCAACTCAAAATTGTGCTTGGGCATCATTTAAACTCCTTTTCCTGTGAGGAAATGCTTTGTTTTCTACTCCCATGAGGCAGATAAAACTTGCAGTCATTACATTTTGCTAACAAGCTACAAACAACTATAATTCCATTTTATTGTGTTGGGACATTTAAATATAACAGTGCTTTGAAACTCTGACTTGAGCTCATCTGATGCTTACATATTTTCACTGCAAGTGTGAAGTGTAGCTTGTATTAATCTGTCATCAACAGAATGGTCCAGTGGTCTTGGACTGGGAGTTGAGAGCCCTAGAGTCTAATCTTGTATCTCCTGTTGATTTTTTTTCTTTGATATTAGATGTTACTTGACCACCTCTAAAGCTCTCTATAAGTACTATACATTCTTGCTATATTGTTAATACAGGGAATAAGAATATGAACAAGCTGTCACTATCATTATAAAGAAACCCACGTTTCTTAAAAACCTTGAGCTTTTCTTGCTATCACTGAAGCATTTGTTGCTCCAGATGGTGGTGGTGATTTGAAATGGATTCTCAAACACAATAATGACCCATAGTGGTACTGTGCAACCTGAATGGGTAGCTCAACTCTTCACAAAATGTAAACATACTAGCAATTCCCAACATTGACCAATATCAAAGCAGTCTAAAATGCTACTTATGTGAGGGAAGCAACATAAAATATTAGACTCTACACAGAAGAATAAACAGTTAGGTATTTTCTTTTGTTTAGCAATAAAAATCTTTTTTCAGTGGTGATAGTGATCTACATGTGTTTCAACTTGTGTGTTCCTGTAGTTACCAATTGTGAATCTATTTACCTTTAAATGGTTCTATATGTAGTCTTGTATTAGAGGATTAAGTACTATGTCTTGTGTCTGTTGCTTTTCAAACAAACTGTCAGACTAAAGGCACAATCAACTTGAGTGGAAATATTCAAAAACAAGTAGTGCCTGCAAAATAATAGTTACGGATTATTCCATTTTTAACTGGAAATAAAAGCTTTTTTGAGCAACTGTTTTTTATACTGTAAAGTGCTTACTTACAATTTGAGTTGTAAGCACATAGGAGCGTATAACTTGCCCAAGTTGGTGACAATTTTTGGATCAGTAACAGACTTCCAGTGCCAAATCATCTCATCATTGTTTCCAGCAATGATAACACTAGTTAATTAAAATATATCCCAGGAATCCATTTCAAGAAAATGTCAGTGATGGAGGGATTTAACAAGTGCCACAGAGTAATATTTATAAATATTAGTACCAGCACTCTGCTCTTGTCATGAGTATTTTGAATGTCCAAGGAGGCTTATGCGCCATACATTTTTGTATAAATGATAGGAAAGCTAGCATATGGTACTCTCATTTGTATTCAAAACCAAAGCAGTTTTAATTGCCAAATTCTGTGGATGGCAGCAAAAGAACATTTTTAAATGAGTTCACTAAAGAGCTACAAAAACCTAAATCCTCTGCCAGATTTCCAGGCTTACTGTGCTTTGGGGAACATGTTACACATGACATTTCCTAGGATTAGTTATGAAGGTCAAAATGCAGAATGTTCTTGGGGCTGTATTTTTGTGTTCCTCAACTTAGTTTTGTAACAGTCCCAAAACTGCCAAACTGTTAAGCATTTTGAGAGCCATTTTGAAACTGCCTATTTTGTGGTCTCTCCCCCCACTTACTGCCATCCCATGCAGTACTTGAAGCCCGTATGAGAACTACCCACACCAGGACGCTCGGAATGCAGAGACAACACTTGTTCTTTGTACGCATTTAGGGTCGACATTCAGGCAAAACATTATAAATTCCTTGTGGAGGCATATTCTTCTTACAGCCATGGTTGAAAAGTACAGCAGGGAATAACATTCCCTATTGTTCGAAGAAAGGAGGGGTAGATACAAAAAAAAGCCTGTGTTGTGGCCTCCTCCTTCCTCGAGCAGATTTTCATTCTCCCTGATATTCTGAAGCTAAATTAAGAGATGGCGGGGGTCCTGAGATCTCAGAATATAACGTTGGATTGTAAAAAGTGATTGTCTTTCCTCAATAGCAGCAAACAGGTTTGCTATTTTTCACCTCGTCACAAGATCTGATAACTGAAAATACACCGCAAACAACCAAGTTAGAGGGCTGGTGACCTCTATTTTTATAAAATTTGTTTTTATGTAAAGAATAACCTAATGAAACCACTGTTAAATAATTATACAGAACCTGATTCTGTTGCACTGGAAACAGCGGTATCCATGTGGGATAAGCCTAATGATGTTGGTGACAGAATCAATTCCCTATAGCACTACAGAAAAAAAAAATACTCCCTACGTTAGTCCAGCAACAAGGGGGAGGGAGAGAGTTTGTTTGATATTCTAGTGGCAACCATTGGTAATGTTCCCTTTTTAATCTCTCTGAAATGTACTTGGAAAAATTTCAACTTTTAAAAGTGATTATATTTTATAACAAAGAAATTAACAAGTTTGTGTCAGGATGACTGTCTGCCCTACCTTGTTTAAAGTTTGTGGTTCCCAGGTACTACCTACATTTTTTTTTGTTTTGAATTATTACATTATTTCCTTGTGTTGAGTATTCCTTTTATTTGTTTTCTTTTTTTTCAAAAGGCCTGTAAGTGAATCTGTAAAACATTATATAAACAGAATTCCTTTAATTTCTGGGATTACTTTTATTTGCTGTATCTTGGATTGTAATACAATCATTTTTTAATATCCTGATACTAATATTATGTGCTAACATGGCAAATGTAAACTAGATTTACACAGTATGGTAAAACACATGAGGATGCTAGGAAAGACACAGTAAATAATAAGGGGCAGATTTTACTGAAATGCTAGAGCCTGCATTAATAAAGTAATTTGTCGTCTTTATTGCACAGTAAGCATTTTTTAACCTCAGTTTTGTTCACCTTTCTGTAGTTTGTGCAAATCTGTATACGGCCCTGTTTCTCCATTCGTTTCAGTGAAAAGGACATTTAGGGTGACAAGAAATATAGGTTTAATTCCCTTTCCCACCTATGCAAAGTATACAGAGGATATAAAACACTGGGCTATTTGATTAAACTTGATATAGAAGGTGGTTTTAATAACATAAACAAACCCTGGGTTTTGGTGGTCCTGCCTACTGCTGCCCTCCAAAAATTCAGATATATACACCCATTGTTTGAAAATTCGGAAAAATAGCAGTTTAATTAATGCTTGTTCTACTTAAAAGTTGTTTATTCCAATGACTAGACTTTCCAACCACATAAAAATGGTAATGATTTACTCTGGCCTTTCTTTTTGAATGTTCTTAACACCAGATATCTTCCCCCAGTGACTATTTACTGTTTTTGTATACCTACCTGCTGTATAAATGATCAGGTTGTAAAAAAATAGAAAAAGTGTCTGATGTATTAAATGGGACTTGTTTTATGGTGGCTGTAACGTTACATTTTGTGTTAATTTTTGCCTTATATATGTTTCAACATTTATATTCATTTATTAAACAGTTGAAGTCGCTGAGTATTGGTGTACTAATTACTTAGTTTGTTTTTTAAATACCTAGTACATTAACAAAATCTGTGTCTAGTGCCTTTTATTTTCATTTATAGAACTTGATAACTGTGATGCATGCAAAATGGTGGACAACAACATGGTTATGGCAGGGGGGGGCGGGAATGATAGCTCTGCCAACTTAACCAGCCTAAGTTAAACTACCCATTAATTGAGAGGCTGAATGTTACTGATTTAAATGAACGGAAGGAAACAAATATGAGCATTTTGTTTTGCTGGTGTCTGCGATGACTGAACACAAGGAATTTTATTCCAGTTTACTTCAGTGGGAACAGATTACCCATAGCCTTATTTAGTAATTGTCATCTCACAACTCTGCAGTCCATTGTTACAGGTTTATACATCCCCTTGAAAAAAAAGACAATTAGCAATGGAAAACATTGCGACTGCAACTTTTGGTTAGGGTTTATGTATAGGCCCCAGCAATACTTCAGATTTGCTCTATAGTTGTCTAACCTTTAGCATTTATACAAAGATATTTTTCTACTGTAAGAAAAAGGCAATCCCCACGTATGTATTTATATGAAACAAATATGGACTTAGTGAAAGTATTGCGAAGCACCACACAAAAAGTACAAAAAATGGAGGAGGTGGTAAAGACACATGATATAGATACATTTTGCTTATGAGTAACCCAACTGTGTTTTTATGACCTACCAAGATTATTACATAGAACAAATATGATCAGAAACCAGATTAAAAGGAAGAGGGACCTAGAAATCAAGAATGATCTATAAGGAAAATTTTGAAGAAAAAAAGGTGAACTGACAGACTGGAAAAACCCACTTGATCAAACCGTTTACATTTCATGCAAACCTGTCTTTCCTGTAATTCTCCTTCTTTCAATTTCCATGAAATGCTACAGTATATTCCTTGAGCTATTCTGACTGACATACTTTTCACTAGATTAACTTTTATACCTTCCACATTTCAAAGATCCAGTTTCCTGTTTCTGGATCCCTGTGATAGTTGAAATATTATTTTCTTGTTCTTTTGGGATAAAACCATATCAGAAAACTTCATCCTCTCAAATACTCGTGAAACCACCAAGCCGTTTTTAACATTTGCTGCCGCTAGCTACTGTTTGACCTGGGCATCTTTGGTTTCAAATCAGTTGTGATCTTTTCAGGACTGGTGCCAGGGTGTTCTCAGTACAGGGCATCAGGAAACACAATCCTTTGATGCTTTACTGGATCCTGAGCCTGCCAAACTTAAATGCAGGGGTTTTGTGGGGGGAGGCGGGGGAGGAGGAGGAGTTACTTTTTCATCACTGGGTGACATTTAAACTGCATCTGAGAAGTATGAAGGCAGCTGGTGCAGATGCACCTGAGCTGGCTCTAAACTAGCACTAGTATGAATGTGGCATGAAATCTAATTAAGCCAGCTAAGTATATTTATCCAGAGTCCCAAGTGGCTTTTGTAGCTGGTCCCGCAGGTACACTGTTTATGCCTTTGGAGTGCAGTGAAGACTGTATGTTAAAGGGTGTTATTCAGTATGCTCATTGCTCCTTCATTTGCTGCGTAGTATTTTATGTAAAAATTGAATGGTGTTTTCTATGCACTAGCCCAGCTGTTGTAAATCTCCAAACCTTCTTGCATCTTACTGTATTGATTCCTCGTTATTTCTTTTAGTCCCATTTTTTTATATAATCAATAATGCTCTGCAATTCTACAGCACTTCCTACCCCAGGGCTTTACTGTAATTGACAGATATTAGTGGCAGCCCTACAATGCCCTTGCAATAAATGCTATTAAACTTTCAACAGATAAAAGATTGAAACAAGACTCAGCCAAGGTCACTCCACATGGTTGTAAAGATCCATCCTGAAGCTGAGTACCACAATTGTGCACGTCATGAGCAACTTTTGCTGATTTTCATGTGGTGTTCCCATGCAAAACTTTTACATTAAATAGTTTATAAAAGCCCTCACCCAACTCCAAAATATTTGCTCTCAAGCCAAAAGTATTGCTGTATGCAGCTATTCATTTCACATTTGAGCTATTGTGTTCAGTTTTCCATCCAACAATCTTTCCCCTTTAATTGCTATATCCAACTGTCTCCATACTGTTGCCAGCTTTCTTCGAATGGTATCCAAAACATTTTAAAGGTTTCTGAAATTTACTTTCTCCATAGACATAGATAGTATGCTTAATCCCTGTTTAAGCCAACTCATCTCTTGAGATTCCCCTTTTATTTGCACTGGGTTTGTGTTTTCTCTCACCTTCTGCCAAAGCATGAAATGAGCATCACTCAACATCACTGTATGCAACTAGGTTTCCTATCATAGTTCAAATCTAAGTGGGGTGGCAAGAGGAAGTCAGGGGAGAGATGGAAGACTTTAGTTCTTACTTTCTCTACAACAGCTTCCAAAATAAGTGTTACTTAGGCACACCATATTTTTCATTTCTTCCATGTAAAAAAACCTTTGGGCATTTTAGAATCTTTCAAAGACAGCTCTCAAGAAGTAAAAATGTTAGTTATTTCCTGTACTTCTAAAGAGTGTTTCAATTTGAGCCATACTATGATTATTACTATATATCCTTGCTATTTTCACCTCCAACCTTATTTATAATACCCAGTACCTTATTTCTTTGTAACACATGCAAAAGTTACACCTGAGCATATAGCATATGCAGTGAACTGTATTTAAAGTCATTTAAAAAAGCAAAAACCAATCACAATTTTTTATATCAAATGGTGTGTATATTTATTATGCTACCTGACAGATTGAAGTTCTTCAGAATCAAAACTCTGGCTTCATATATTGAAATACTGAAAGAAAATTCACAACCAAAATTTCCCAACCTACCTTCAAAATACTTTCTAATTTATTTGAAGATGCCCCCAAATCACCTGAATACATTAAGAAGCCTTTTTTTTTTTAACCAAAGCATCTCCTACCTCTAAGCCCCATTACATATATCCTTTACCAATATCTTAACAGATTCTCTGAGGTCACCCAAAAGCTTATACCAATCATTTTAACCCTCTGCTACCAGGCTTCTTTCTCTTCCTGGTTAACTCTGCACCATGGTATTTTAGCTCTCTTGTTTTCTGAATGAATGTTTCAGTTGTTCATAGAATATCACACAGCCCCTTTAAATCATGCTAACTTGCTTTACTGGTTTCTTCCTATGCTGAAAACAGTATTTCTTTAATACAGAAAAGACTCTAAACCCTTTAAAGAGCTCATTAGTTTTCTTCCTGATTATCAATGAGGGAAATTAATTAAGGATTTAAATAGACCCATCTACACTTTTCATCAAAAACTAGCAAACGCAAATACCCAAAGACCCTCACACAGCTTGTACCTTAATAGCTCCTCACTTCTGCCAGCAGTTATAAACGTAGTAGTATGTACTGATTTTTGGAGTTTCTCTTTCAACACAAGGTAAATCTTCCTTTCTTAAATAAGCCAAATATCTCTGTTGTGAGAAACTACTACTGTAATAGGCTTTTCTTAATGTTTCTTACCTATCCAATTTTTCCATAATACCCCTATCCAGAATAAACTAGCTGTTTCCTTTGGCAATACTGACAGGTATCAATACCACCAACTGCATCTGCAGCCATCCTATATCTAGTAAGCTTCCATTCCTAATTTTTCTCTGCAAATTATTTAATCTTTGCTTGATGCAAATCAATCACACTTAACTCTACAATAATACTCTTACAAAGGATGATGGGAGTAGTGACAGCCAATTCTTGACACCTGAGCAACTTGAATCTAATTTCTTTTACAGCTGTCATATCATTGTCTCTGCTCTTCCTGTTTCTCACAAAAAGATGTCAGGAGAGATTTCTATACGAGCCTATCCTAAAAACATCTCTTGGCTCCAATTTTTATGTCTGCAAAGGCTGCAATTATATTGAAACAAGGACAGAGACGTTGGTATAATCATTGGAAAAAGTAGCTCAAACAGAGTGAGATGAAAGGGGATTGGAGTGACAGCATTTGGTATACGCTAGGCTCAAATCCTGAATGTTTGTTGTTTGAGAGGAGGCCTGTGTCTCCTGCTTCCCATCAAATACACTAAACACTAGGCCACAGGCTAGGCTTTGTTCAGAGCGCTCTTCTCTCCAGCCCTCTCCTTGAAGGTTCAAGGTTCACTACTGGGAAAGCCCTCCCCTCCTCCACCAGCACCGCAGTTGACTTCTGGGGAATATGGACATTGAACCATCCTACGGTCACAAGTAGAAATACAATCCCAAATAGTGTATAGGTGCCAACAACTGTGATTACGCATTTAATTTGTGCCACTTGGTCCTAAAAAGGGCAAATGACCATATCCGTTTCAGACCAGCAAGTAGTAAGGCCATCCCTGTCTTCAAACACTATAACAAGTTGTCTACAGTATGCACAATGGATTTTTGTGCTAGAGTAAGCCCCAGACTTCTGCATCCTGCTACAATGTTGGTGAAGCATCTAGAACAGCATTTGCAAAGGTGTCAGCTCAGTAGAATATATTGGCAATCAAGCATCACAGGACTTACCTATGGTTTCATGATACTGATAAGTAAAAGCAGCATTGTATGCTATCTCCTAGCATCAAAAAGTTTATCTGGATTCCTTGCAAGGATCAAGCAAAGTCACCAACAGACTATGGGTATTGCTACTTCAGTATTGCTATTTAAAAAGTTCTTGATATTGAGATCAGATTTGCATAATCAAGGATATTTGCTACAAATATTTTCCTGGTTTTACAAAAAATAAAATCTTAATTTATTTAAGAGAGCAAACCAATCATGATATTTTGGCAAATGTCTTTAAAAATACTTAAGAACTAAAATGAATTACCACTTGACTGTAACAGGTTGTAGCGATTTTTATCACACAAGGTAAGTATTAAAAAAAATAAATAAATAAACCTGCTGTTTCTTTTATTATACCAAGTCAGTTGTATTGAACATGTTCTACTGCAAGAAGCAGCTTTCATCCTACTCACTATATTATGTATAATAATCCATTCTTACATTTCCTTTGGTTAACGTTCTGTTACCTTTTTTTCCCCCTCTACCTGATTTTTTTGTGCAAGTCCCTCCGATTTGGATGCCAGAAGGAAGGAAAGGTATGATTAACTCATCCTAATTTAAATGCATTTTTCTGCCTAAAGTGAACCCATGAAATGCCTTCCAAAGAGAACATTAAAATCGGGCTGAAAAACCACAAGAAAAATGGATTTAAACAGAGGTCTCTGCATTAAAGAGTCTTACTAGTGAGACAGAGCCTATCTGATTACGCACAATTCTGCAACATCACAAATGCCACATATTTCACTGGTTATAATGGACACATAGCATTAATGGTACCAGGTCTAGGGATGTTTTCAATGATCGTGAGTGATTAATGTCTCAGTATCTAGGTGGGGTATGGTTTCAAGTGGTGTTCCCAGGGGTCTGTCCTGGGTCCAGTATTGTTCATTATCTTCATTAACAATGTGGCCAATCAGCCTGAATGCACACTTAGCACATTTGTGAATGATACCACTTTGAGAGGGCAGGGCTAGGACTCAGAATGACTTGGATAGACTGGAAAAATGACCCACAACCAGTTCAACAAGGCCAAGAGCAAAGTCCTGCCACGTGGAATGCAGTAATTGCATGCTGACATGCAGACAGACTGGGGAATGAGTGGCTAGGTTACAGTAGCAGAGAGAAGTACCTGCGGGTTACAGTAGATCAGTGGGGGTCAACCTTTTTGGAAGCATGCCACAAATTAACCCCAGACCCTTCCCAAATGCCATGTGCTACACAGAAGCGCCCATGGGGCATACATGCTGCAAGTTGGCCACACCTGCAGGAGACCATAAGCTGAATACGAGTTGGCAGTGTGCTTTTGTTGCAAAAAACAGCAAATAGCACGCTAGGCTGTATTAACAAGAGTGTCGCTTGCAAATCAAGGGAAGTGATTCTTTTTCTGTATTCAGCACTGGTGAGGCCTCACCTGAAAGACTGCATCCAGTTTTGGGCTCCACAATTTAAGAAGGATGTGGACCGATTATGGAGAGAGTCCAATGCAGAGTGACAAAAATTATTAGGTGCCTGGGAGGCAAGATTTCTGATGAAAGGATGAAGGAAGAAAAGGCTGAGGGGGGCCTTGATAACAACCTTCAAATATCTGAAGGGCAGTTCTAGAGAGGATGGAGAGGGGCTTTTTTCTCTGTGACTGTAGGGAACAGGATTAGGAGCAATGACCTCATGTTGCAGCAGAGAAAATATACGTTGAAGATTAGGAGGAAGTGTCTCACTATGAGAGTGCTACCAGGTAGCATTGGAACAGACTATCTAGATAAGCTGTGTACTCTCCATCACTGGAAATTTTCAAAAGCAGGTTGGACAGAGACTTGACTGGGATGGTTTGGTCAGGGATGCTCCTGCCTAGATGACCTTGTGAGGTCTATTTCAGCCCTACTTTACCATGACCCTATGATTCAGGAAGCATCCAGGGAAAATAAAAGGGAAAATAGTTGAACAGGCTGTTTTAAATTACCTTTTTAATTCAAGTCACAGATCTGTTAATGAGGACATGTTGTACAGACATTTCTGCTTAATTCAGAATCTGCTGAACAGTTCAATCTTTTTATCAATTCGTGTCATATATCAGGGAAAATGGCTAGTCCAATGGAAATAAGGTCATTTATTTAAGTGCCCTATCATGGATTTACATGCCCAACTTTTAGCCACAAGTTCACGTGTCCTTTTTGTTATTATGCTATCATCACCCTTAAGTTGCTTACAGCGACCTTTTGGCTGCTTCTGAATTTCTCATTAAACTGCCAGTCACAGATTTGGGTGCCTAGGGCACCAGCTGGCTCAGCAGGTTTTCACAAAGCAACCCACTATTATGTTAATAATTCATATGTAACTTAGCTCTGAAGAAGAGGATCTAAGATTTATACTAAACCATAATGTGCGCATGAATCAACTATACCATACTGTTGTGAAAAAGCCAACATCCAGTTTTGGGCACTGCACTTTAAGAAAGATTGGGATCAAGTGAAAAGGACCCTGTGAAGAAAAATTTGGCAAAAATTAGTATTTTTAAAAGTTAGTTATAGTCTAGAACTTAAGACCAATCATAGCTTAAGATTTCCATGACTATTTTCTATAGTATATAGGGAAACCAACTGACACATTTCCATTGTACCATCAGAGGTATATACATAAGCAAGCTACATAAAATATGAACAGTAAACCAGAGGGGTATTTTTTAATGTTCAGATTTCATCCTCTAGATTCTAGATGTGTGATTTGTAGGAATTCCTCTTAAATGCTCTTTAATGAATTTCAACTCATCAGGGTCACTCTCATTTACAGAATGTTAAAAGTTATGTAGTAGTAATGATAATATAGAGAATGATAATGCAGAGATGTATGACACACAGAGTTCTTGGTTTCAGAAGCAGTCCTGTTGTGGTACACTGCAGTTGAACAAATGGTAGATAACTCACTTGGAAAGTTTCATGCTTCTGAAAATCTATGTGGAGGTGCATGAGTCAGACCAGAAACTAGCATCACATTTGCACAAAGTGGTGTCAGACAATATTTTCTGAGCTCTTTCAATCACCACCTACATGTCTGCTATTGCTTATGATCAAGCAACCACAAAATGACAAGAAGTGTTAGTAAGTCTAGTATTGGTTTCCAATGGGAAGTGCTAACTAAAAGTGAAACTGATTATTACAGTTTTAGTTTATCATTGCTTCAATGCAAATTGTAAGTTAACCACCCTTAAAATCCTACCATCTCTTTTAACAAAACTATAAAGGTTAAACAAGAAATGTATTTTGCTCAGAAGCTAAAGAGGAATGAATGAGAATGAAACCTGGATTTACATTTGTGCGACTGCAAACATTTTTAAGACAGTTCCTGGAACACAATAATGTGGCCTATGTTAATATATATATTAATTATATGCTGGCAGTAACTTTCTAGCATAACGACTACAACATAGGATTCAACTTATGTTAATAATTACAGTTCTTGTTCATTAATTTCTGTATTGGGCATCAAGTTACTTACTTATATCAGTCTGTCTTAGAGTCTAATTATACATAGTCGCAAGGCCAATCTTCATGTAGTTTAAATGACAATGGGCAAAATACGTTTCCTGTGTGGCAGAAAAAAAGATCTGTTCACTGCTTGAATCTAAACTGTTATGGGTCCTGATCCTGGAAATAATAGTTCCATTTAAGCTAATCAATACAATTTGATTAAAGCCATTAACAGCTGATAAGCTAAAAATTAAACTCGTACTGCTTGTCCAGTTTGAGGCACCTCACTTTTGACAAAGATGTGGATAAATTAGAGAGAGTTCAAAGGAGAGCAATAAAAATTATTAAAGATCTGGCAAAAATGACTTATGAGGCAAGGCTGAAAGACCTAGGGTTATTTAGTCTGAAGAAAAGACAGAGGTAAATTTGGTAACAGTGTTCAAATGCCCCAAGAGTGGTTATTACAGAGGATGGGGATAGAATATTCTCTGTAGCTGCAGATGACAGGATAAGGAACAATGACTTTGAATTTCAGCACGGGAAATGTAGTTTGGATATTAGGAAGAACTTTCTCACTGGGGGGTGGTCAAGCATTGGAGCAGGCTACTCGAAGACATTGTAGAAACTTTGCAGTTTTTAAGAGCAGGGAAGACAGATACTTCACTGGGATGGTTTAAATAGGGATGATCCTGTCTTGAAGATGGGTTAGAATAAATGACCTCCTCTGGTCCCTTGCAGCCCTACTTTTTAAATCATTTATAATTCCAGTAAGTCCAAGCTACAAAATACATACAGATTATACATTTTAACAAATTCCCAAAAGTTTGGTAGATAAATTCAAAATCCAAACCTAAGTATACATTTTGCAGACGGCTTTAATTTACAACAGGTCACAACAAAATCTTTGAATTATGAGAAAATTGTAATGCTGTGACTCAAAATACTGAAGCTTTTGCCTACCTTTATTAATATAAATTAATAGGTTTGGACTTTCTAAACTGAAGAGCAACAAACTAAACAAGTAGTTCCTTACCTCCCATCAGATGTGATGGCAATTAATTTCAAATACTGCTCAAACTTTCAAATTTCCAAAAGTTACAGGGGTTTTTTAAAATATATTTAAACACAAAGGAAAGTTATCTGATTTTCAGAAATGGCAAGCATAGAACAGCATATATACCCAGAATTTCAAGTTTTTCTGAAGTATATATTTAAGAACATAATTCTAGTTAACCAAATTTGACCAGAGTTAACCAATTTTTTACCTATATATGTTTCTTCAGCAAAGAAAAGGAAAATGTATTCTCAGTTAATTAGGAACATTTCGATAAGAATTGCTACAACTTTCCTTTTTTGTACTATGAGTATTAATTTCACAATGAAATCACAAACTAACTGTAATGAAGTCTATGGTTATACAGTTCTACACCATCTCATACAAAAGTCTAAGACTAGAGGTTAAACTGTAAGGCACCTTTGCTTTGTGCCTCTCTCTTGATACAGTAAATTGTCATTTATGAGAGTAAACTGGGTGACACATGGACATCTCCTGTGGATGCTGGCAGTTTGAGTAGTCATTGTTTTCTGTCCCATATGCTCTTTGAACAAAAGGACAACAAACCTATCATTCACATTTATCCCTTACATCAGCAAAAAGAAAACCCACTGGATGATGTTTTAAACTTATGTGCAATCAAGTTGACAAATCCTGCTGGGTTTGCAAGCCAATTAATTATTCAATGGATTATTCAAATCAACCAGTTATTCAAAGAACTTGAACTTTTGATTACAGTTTGTGAACACATGCCTTTAATACATGTTGCCTGAAAACTAAGGCTCTAAGTAGCTAGAAATTATGCAAAATTTAAACTTTAGAATAGGTGCAAAGCTGGAAAGTTTAATTGATAATTACATGCTGCCAACTAGAAGCTGTGTGTTGCTCCACCTGGTGATAAAAATGAACATCACTCTGTATGGAGTGGAAATTTCCAGTAACTTAAAGCAGAATAACTTGTTTTTTTTTTACTTATTTTTTTTGTCCTGTACTTATTAGGTTCTCACACTGGTGTCCATTATTTCACTGAGCCTATTTCAAAAGTAAATCGGTAAATGGCAGTGTCTTGAATTGCTACAACTCTCACTAACTGCATGAACTCATTTAAAATCTAACTCTAATGAAACTGTATAAAAGTAAGAACTTAGCACATAGGTCAGTCAGGGAGGGAGCTGGAGTAGAGATGGATGCAACAATTGCATCTATCAAATGATACTAGTATAAGTTAGAGTGCAAGTGTTACATCTGCATGAATCTAGCATGGCAAGGGCAGAAGAACTGCTTTTTTCAGGCTAAGAACAGATATTGCATCTGAGGTAATTATTTGTCCCTGGACAAGTTATGTCTGTGTTGGTCCCAGAATAGAAGCATCCCTTCTAATCAGGGTTTAGGGAACAGCTGAGTGCACTGCTGCTTTTCTGCAAATGATTAAACAAAGCAAACCATTCAGATGCACTTTGAGATGTCCCAAGATAAAGTTAGTACTTCTTACCTTGTGAAAGATACAATGGTTTATCCTGGGACAAATGAGACATCTATTTGTAGCCTCAAAGTCCAAACTCAGGCCATAATGGATATTACTACAGGATGATGCAGACATAACAGTTACAGCAGCTCCCCTTCCCTTCTTAAAGCTGATAAAAGCAGATAAAATATACATTTGGCCATACCCTCAGATAATTTACTTTCTCTTTTAGTTAGTACAAGCACTACTGCCCATAGCATAACATTTTACCTCCTTCTTTAAGTACCCTCAGACCTTGTGGTACATCTTCTCTTTAATGCACTTATCTGCTTTTGGGTGCTTCTAAGAAAATATCACTTTTCAATTTTATTTTTTTCCCTCACTGATTTTGCCTCTTAAAATCTGAGAAGTAATAGAGAAAATTATGTACAGATAAACAGTAATTAATTACAGTATTTTATAAGTGTAATCTAAATTAAGAAAAAATATATAATTATGTTACCACAAATCTGAATGACATTACATTTGCTGAGGTAATACATGAAAAAGTGCTGCATTACAAAAGCTGGTAAATACAACTTATTAAACTTAAACCAACCACCCCTCCTCTCCCATCTTTACTAAATTTGGCAGTATGAAAAGGAGCATAATATCCAATTTATTTTATAGCTTGCAAGATACCTTTTCAATAAGCCATACTGACACACTGTATATACTTATTATTGAGCATATTTCTTTTTGGTGATTCATAGTACAGTAATTAAACAAAGTTATTAGTACATGGACTGGAAAAATATGATTATCCCAGTCCGATGCTTAACTGTGTTAAGCACAACTTACTGGTAATAAATTCACATTTCTAGACAAATGTTATACACCTTATTCATGACAATTTATAAATCCCATCATCCAATTCTACTTCACTAAGCATTCAAATAAACAAGATTTTAGTCCCCTAACCAGTGATAATGCAAGTTCTCACACAGAAAACCTGGTTTAATCTAAACAACACATAGAAAAACTATTTTAACTGCATAATTGTAGAACAAAATCATAGAAAAAATGTTTAAAATGGAGTTTCAAGTAAGATAGTAAGTTCCAACAGTAGCTCTGCAAGATTCATTTTGGGACATAAATGACTCTTTTGAAACACAAATGAGTGAAGTTGTTGGATTTAAATGAATTCATTGTTTATTACTTGAATTCCTACCTTCTGTCTCTTGTTCACAAGGACTGAATATGTACTGTTTCCAAGGTCTGGGTTGTGATCTCTTCTATTTTATCTACAGATTTTTTTTCCTCCTATTTTCTACCCCTAATACTCTCTTCTCTACTTCCTCTACTCTCTTCATCACTCTCTTCTCATACTTCCTGTCCTTATGTATACAGCGAAAAAAATGGGAGAGTGATTCAACTCATATTCAAATCCATCTTATAAAACAGAAAGTATTACTTTGTTGTTCTTCACAGTGCACACCATGAAAAGTTTGCAGTAGGATAGCAACCACTTTCCTTGCATCAAAATATAGGAAGGCAACTACAGTGCAACACTCACCAGTAAGAAGGATATAAGGGTCATGGCAGCTGTCTGTGAAAAGCAAAGAAAAGTTTAATTGGGAACATGGTTAAAAAAATACCTCTCAAATCACTCCCTACAATTGTGCTTTGCTATCCTGTTGGTTTGTAAATAGAAGTTATGGCACTACCGCTGCTAAGACTTCCTTCTCTCACCCAAAACAATCTAAATACCTAGCAAAGAAGTAAATGTAAGAGTAAGTGAACAAAGATTGAATAATCTTACCAAAATCTTAAACTCAATAAAATCCAGCAAAGTCCTACTTTTTAAATAGTAAAATAAAGATACCACCAGCCTGGGGACACTGAATCTAACAGATTGAGATGAACTTTGTGGCAATTCATCTGAAATGTCTCTCTTCAGATTGCACTGACTACATCATAGCAATACTGCTGATTTGCATTCATTTGTAACAATCTAGTATAGTCTATTTATATGCCATTCATATGTCTGACTGCATTATTGGATAATCGGACAAAAATAACAAAAAAAAAAATGTTTTTTCAGTAGCTTTAACTAAGCTATTAAGTTACAAAGTGAGAGTAGAACTTCAATCTAGCAATTTTAGAGCACATTGCAAGCTTTCGTTCATTCAAGTTTCCCTACGCACTTCTGAAATATATTTTCTACATAAACAAAAGTACAAAGGACCAGATTTTTAAAGATACTTAAATCACTGGAAAATGCAGATAGAGATGTATAACCAGAGCTCACCATATAATGCTTATTTATACCATTAGGTATAAGAATGTGTTAAGCATACCTTGAAAATTCTGGCTTTTAAATTATTTACCAAATATCACCCAACCAACGAGCAGTGAGGCAGAGGGGAAAAAAACCCTCAGGAATCCTGGTTCCTGTGCTCCAATAAGTAGATAATACCTGCCTCACTAGGAAAATAAGGGGGATGTACGTTTAATACTAATGATGAAAACTTAGTTGCTTTGATTGTTTATCTTGTCATACTATTTATACATTCCTTAAATATTCATTACTTCTTGTCTTACGAAGTTAGCATCATTAAGAAAATACTAACATGAACAGCTTTTTCACTGGAGAGGTCAACCCGATCAGCAACATTTGCCATTATCATTCTAAATGGATCTTTCTATCATTACACTGTCTTTCGTGGGGGGCATTCTCTGTACCATGGGTATTTAGTCTGACTTTGCTGGATTTTTTGGTATAGCCTTTTGCCATGATGGAAAGATGTAGCTTCTGTTTATGAGTCTGACATGGATCGTTCACCTCTGCCAATCCATATTTCTATTTCACACTACATCAAAAAGTAGCCACAAGTGCACAGAAGTATGTGGAACCCATTTTTACTCTCGCATAGTATGTTTATCCCATGGTACTATAGTATACTATTTAGTTTCTACAAATTATTCTCATTCTTCTGCCTTCATTCTTTATATTTTATTTCTTACCACAAGTAAAAGCACTTTGAAGTGACTGCACAGCAAGTCTCCCCTGACTCTCCTCAATTTTAAGTGCAGCTGCTCTTTCATTTCACCAAATCAAGTAATTTCTGACCCCTAGTGCTGTATATTTGAAATTAAAAGGGGTTAATGTACAGTGCATTACTTCTCTGGTATGGAGATTGACTCCATGAACTAGTAGGTCTTTTTTTCAACTGTTTTCACATCATTATGATTCCACTTATGAGAAAAGCTAGTATTTAAATGCCTGGACATGTCAGCAAAAGACTGGGTTCTGGATTAGGCTATAATATATTCAAAAGCTTGTATTTATTTTATATGCACAGTCAATGCACATGTATCACTTTATTGCTTGGTCTCTCTACGGACACTGGATTATAATATTTGTAAAATTCTTTTATTCGTGAACGTGACTTGGTGCATTCTCCCTTCACATTGCTGTCATCTACCTTTCCTTTGCTGTATTCTAATATAACTATCCTGTATTTCAGGACATACATGCAGCCAGAGCTAGCCACGTAGGTTCCATGCCTCAGAGGTCTCAGCATGGGCGACCTGGTGATGACAACCCAGTAGTCCACTTCTTCAAGAACATTGTAAGTTTCCCCTTTTCTGCTCTTTAGTGGAATTAAAGGATTCATTTGCGATTCATTGGCAGCTCAATGTTAACTGGTGTTAAAATTAACAGTACAAATAAATTGTTTTGCCTCTGCCTTTGAGAGTATAGTGATGCCAGAGTTATTCTACTTGGACACATAAAGCAGGAAATGGATACTTTGGATAAAAGGGACTGACTCTACCATTACTACTTTGAAATTTCAACATTAATTATTAGAAATTATGAAGCTTTGCTGTCTGCAAGTTTTGTATTCATCTTCCTTGGAGCAAGCCATGTTCAAATACTTACGTATTGATTTTTGTTTAAAGAGAGAAAAAAAAAAAAAAAGCAGTTGTGCTCCAGGCACAAGTCCTTTAAAGTAGCACTTACTGGACTTACTAAATGAACCCAATCCTAAAAGCCAGACTATACTCAGGAATTTCCTTTGAAGTCATAAAAAAAAAGGGGTCCAGATTTGTTTCCCTGACCTGTTCCCTGCCCCTTCCCCCCTCGCCCCCCAACTCCAACA